ATACATAACAAGCATGCGCAGAGCAAAGACAAGACATGTACTTAGGGCAATTTTAAGAGCAAAAACCTATCTTTAGCAATAAAGATATTAAAATAGTGCTTGTGCTCATTTTACTCATACAGGAAGGTTTAAAAAGAAACTCTTTAGAGAAATGAAAGATCACTAATAACTGCAGTTTCCTGAACAATTAAATGAATTCACAAGATTACAACCTACTGAGGAAATGACAAATATTTCTGATTTTTATGGAAGGACTAAAAGGGCGCTTTTATCTATAGCATCTATTCTGTAAGAATCACTGTTAAGTAATGAAGCTATTTTTATTATTTTCCTACTTATTTCAGGAGCGATCAACATGGTAACGGTCTGAAAATTGGGGAAACTTAACACTGCTCTTTGGAAAGTTAATATTCCGTATTAAAATACGTTTGTCAGAGTTTTCTTTTTTACCTTTCGAAGTTGGATCTTAAAGGACAGTGTGCATTTTAGCAAACCTTTTATTTCTAATGTGTCAGCAGAAAACGTCCTTTAAGTTACCTAGTCTAATTCTCTGACAAATACACTTTCTAAGGCCGTCCCTCCATGCATCATCCTAATGTTGTTTGGATGTGATAACATTCTGTGTGTGAAGGTCTTGTTTGGAAAAATCTGCTCTTTTTAATAACTGATTCAATAAACTGTTGATGAATGATTTGTAGAATGTAGTATGACCAGTGGGCAAGGTTTCTGCCATTACACACCCTGTTCAATCCATCCACAAATGTTGCTGTGTCTTCCTCGTGTTGTAGCGCCTTATGGCATTCAGAATAGCAATGCAGAGATCAATACACTCTCTGCTGAAAACAACAGAATATAACAAATGAGTAATTTTATTTACAATAAAAGCCCCAGTCCTCAAATGGATACCACTAATGTTTAAATTCATTTTCATGCTCAATTCAAGAAGAGAGATAGGCACAGCACAAAGCAAAGGGAGTGGAGTAAGGAGAAGTATTAACCATAATGGTTCAAATTGATTTAAGCCATGAACAATAGCTGGGCTGCACTGAGACACATGAATAATACGTTTGCTGCCGAATTCTGAATGTGTACTCTTCAAAATGATTCTATCACCAAGAAATTCTGAAAAGCAGTTTCCAGTAACAAGAAATTAATGGATTAAAGACATTCTGACATATTTTTCTAAGCGTTGCACCACAGAAGCCAAAGTGTATTCAATAGGCTTTAAACAGTGTTGGCAAGGACCAGAAGTGTTTGCTTCAGGTGGGGACAAGGAGGGACTGAAGTAGCTATTTCGAGAATGAAGCAAATCATCCTCCTTCAAAAGAGTATCTTTGGCCCCTGATTTGACAGTTCTTTTTCTTCCTCTGAAAGCTATGAAAAAGTCAGTGAGCAGAGTCATAAGAAATAAGTGTTGGGGTGGGGGCAGCAAAATGTTAGAAGAGACACAAGTTCAAAGATGACATTTACAAGCCTCTCATGAATGGCACACTCCCCAAAGGGCACCTGAATACCATTTTTAAGAAGAATTCATCAAACATACAAAGAAAATGTTCCATTTTATATGAAAATGCCAATACACTGCCCTTAAAACACAGATTGGTCCATTCACAAATTAACATGTTAAGAAATGGCAAAGAACCTTTTCCCATCTGCCATCAATTCATTCACTGCTTTTAGACTTAACTCCCTACACTCACGCAATTGTAAACAGAATTGTAACAGACAAAGGATGAAGGGAGAGCTGGAAAAATATAGCTTGGACATGATACTAAAACATCTGGAAAAAAGTGGTGATGAGACTTGGCTTTGTGCATAGAAATCGGGAAGAGGTGGGATTTCGGCACACTTTGTTTCCCTATTCTGTTACCTGGAACAATGCATATGCTCCTGATGTTTCCAGTTTCACTTTAGATTCAGTCAACATAGAACATTTGGGTGCTAAGAAAAAAGAGACGTGCAGGAGCAGGTCCCGCCCACAGGAAGGAAAGACAGTGCATAGAGAAACAGGGATGCACATACTTTGGATATGAGGCAGACTGGGCTGTATGGTCATGGTACCTGGAACAGGGTATGCGCTCAATAATAAAGTACTGAATGAATCAACATGTGAATAAGGAAGTGAGTGTCACCAACAAAGAGGACAGATTTTTTCCTTTTCTGCTCTTGTTGTTTTCCCTAAGAGGGTGGGACAGTTATCAAAGCACTTCATTTGAAATGAAAAGGATGGGGAGCATCTCCAGTTGAGGCGAGAGGCAGGATGTAAGGTATAGTAAAGGAATAGTACAACACATATTCAGGAAATAGCCGGAAAGAGAGGAGAATGACGCAGTACAATGAAGATCCTTAAAAACTATTCTAAGGAGTTTGGATTTTATCCTCGAAAATTAGATCTTCATTATTGGTTTATTAACAAGGGAAGAGGAGAATGGTATAGTTAGGGCCATGGTTTAGAGTGAGTTATAGGCTGGGCTGGAAAAGCCCAGAGGCAGGGAGATGAACCACACCTAAGGGCTACCCTAGGGCAGGCAGGATAGAACACGGAGGATGACAAAAGCCCACTCCACACATCTCGCCATTTGGGAAATGTCAGCGGGCAGAGCTAACCATGTCTTCCAGCCTCAAATCTCAGGACAAAAGACTATAGTTTCTGCAAGCAAATGACTACCTCATTAAGATGCATCTCCCAGTTGTAACATGGCAGAGTTTATAAAGGTAAAATAAAATAAAAAGTTACAAAATCATCACATAGAATACATTATCTACTGGCCCAGAGACTGTTTTAAACACTGCAGATGTGAATTAGCCTTACAGAATATACCGATTTTTAAAATGTTCTGGTTCTCACTGTTCTCGTAATCAGAAAGGGTTGGATCCTTCTTACTACCTTCCAAACAAACTGAAGTTTGTTAATTTTAATAAAATATTCTCCAAGTCCTTGGTCTTTACTCAGATATACAGTAACTGATCAGGGTTCATTTCCCAAATGGCAACACCAATGCCATCCATTAAGAAACTAGTTGTCATTCACTACTTGCTCACTGTTCACTACAGATATTTTCCTAGACACAGATATTTCCGCGTAATTATTGAGCCCAAACTTATATATGCCCCAGTTTTAGACACCACATTTTCCGAGTTTGTTAAAAGTCTGAAATACCAAGTTACTCTCAAGATATGAGTTCAAAAATTACAAAGCAAAGTTCATTCCATTATTAACCACCTTCAAAAGGGGCCAACGTGGCGAAACTCTGTCTCTACTAAGTATATAAACATTAGCCCAGTGTGGTAGTGCCCGCCTGTAGTCCCAGCTACTTGGACGGCTGTGGCAAGAGAATCACTTGAACTTGGGAGGCAGAGGTTTCACTGAGCCAAGATCATGCCACTGCAATCTGGCCTGGGCTACAGAGCAAGACTCTGCCTCAAAAGAAAAAGAAAAAAAAAAGTGGTGTATCTCTATGACCTCTCATTTTCATAGCACAAGGAATTAAGGTCTGTTTGTCTAAATTCACATTTTCATCCCAGGTCCCTTTATTTCTTTTCTCAAAGTCAATTAAGGCTGGCATCTAGATAGAGATGACATTTAAACCATATTCTTTTGACAACTGAATTTACAGACATTTTGCTTTAAAAAAATTCCCAAAGGAAAAAGCCCACCACAAACTTACAGCAAAATAAAATGTTTCTGTTATTCCAAGAAATTCCAGTCTTTTAAAAGAATTCAATACAAAATTAGCATTAAACTTAAATTGTTGTCTTCTAGGGACTTTCTAAATCATTCTAGTACTTTTTTCAATAAACAGAAGAAAATAGTTTCCTTTTAGACTCATTTCATACATTTAAAAAAAGATTTTTAAACATTAAGAAAATTAACAATTTATTTGGCTACAATTTTCATTCCGGAAATTTGGGAGTCTATAACACAATCACAATTATCTTTTGGTGAATGTTTTTCTTATTCATATTTTTTTCCGCATACAATAGTTATATGGCTAGGAAGGAAGATTATTTATAAAGTTCTCAAGCACTCCCAACATTTTCACTGCAAAAAAAATGTAACTTAGTCTGAAAAACCTCTTGGCATATTTGTACATTCAGAACTACTAAGAAATTCATTTTAAAGCAAAATCATGTCTCAGTGTGGAAAATACTTATTATCTGAAAATATCAAATTTTATTCTGTTGTCTTCTGCATAGTAAACTAACTTAAGTGGGAAATAAAAAAAAAAAACATCCTGAAGAGTCAATACAAAATTCATATGCACACAATCAGCGGTGATACTTTCAACAACATAAAAATAGCTCCCCAAGCATTTCACCAATACTTGTTATTCCCACTGCAAAAGAATAGAGCTCCTGCTGAAGTCTACAGGAGGAAAGACTGCAGCTTAATAGTTACAGGGAAATAAAACAGCTCTACCACCAATGACACTGGTCAATGATCTACAAGCTGGTATTTTTCCCAAGAGAAAATGCTATTTCAGGTCCCAATATTTTATTTAAAAAGTTTATATGTATAAATTTAATTAAAATGCACAACTTGAATGATCTCCAAGAGGTAAAGCAACAAAGTCGGCCTCAAATCCTCACCTATCTTACTTCCACATCACAAACGCACCATCCAATTTATTAAAAGTCACAACAGACAAGTTGAAAACCAAGTGCCCGTGATATTCATTGGGCCCATTTTAGAAGCACCTATTTATTTACTCAGCTATGGTAGTGAAAAGGTCAAGCAAAAATTCACCTCCAAAGCCATGGTTGCTAAGCAACTCTCTTCAGAAGTTCTGCAACATTGATCAAGCATATTACTGGTGCCACCAACTGGATTCAGAATAAATGTGAGTAACATCTTACCTGGTGTCTCCAAAGTGGGAGGGAGATGGATTCTTTACTTACCTTTTTGGACAGACTGGAAGCCAATCTTGTATTTATATTCATCTGGCTGGCTAGGCTCAGAGGATTTTTATTTTTTCTCTCCAAAAAACAAAAAAGGATACGTCCTGGTACCACAGGTTTCCTATTCACAAGAGCGAAGGACAGTTCCGTTTTGAGAAACACCACAGAAGGCTTGATGAGATGTTGGCCGAATCTGAACGACATTTCGTCAACTGTTGAAGTCCAAAAGAAAAAACAGTGGACAGTTGTAAAATTTAAATGAGAAACTCAGTTCATATACCACCTTAGAGAAGCAAATTTCATTACTACAGATTCGTAGTTGCAGAGAGGATGCCACTGAAATTGTTCCTCATTGAATGCTCACCAAGATGCATTCTGGGCAAGTCTTCCTAAAATACTCCTACTCTACCTACCAGTAGAGTAGAAGTATTCTCTCTAATCTAATCCTTGATTAGAGTTAGTCATTTTCAAGCAGAAGTTTGCACATGGACAACAAAACCGCCTTTCCCCTTTCCTTCCTCAGCACTTCACAGTGCCACCTTAACTCAAATCCACAAGGTCCTATTTGTCAGATACTTATTTTTACCCATCTATTTTGTCATCTCTGCTAAGCTAAACATTTTCATTAAGTATTAACTATAAATCTTATAATTCTTAAATGCTTCTCTCAAATGCTTTTTATTCATATAATAGCAATTTAGAACAAGTACAAACACTGTCTGACCTCGCCTACCATTACAAAAACATGAGCACTCCCAGAGAACTATTCTAGTAAAAACTCCAAAATTAAGGAGGAAAAAAAAATTCTTAAAGAAGAAGGAAGAACCAAAATGGAGTCCAAAACGAGAACAATTCCTGGCTGTGATAGAGTCACAAAGCAGCAAGGTACCTGAAATGTTCTGCGTCCTCCTTTTGAGGGAAAGCCATGGGGTGAGAGGGCAGGGGACGGAGGCTGAAAGGAATTTGGCACATGGCACAGCTAAGACAAGCCAAATCCATCTAGCACCAAGGAATGACTTTTCAATCAGATAAATGCCAACATATGACAAAGTTACTTTGTGAATGACTAGGAAGCACCAGCCCTAGAAAACTACTTCATTTTTCTAATTTGGCAACAGCCTAGTACTAAACTGATGAACATGGATCAATCTATGGAAAAACAAAGAAAGGATTATAAAAAGGATAAAATTAGAAAATAGTGGGCTATTTGTGATACTATAAAATATATATTTGTTTTTCAACCCCATTTCCTGGCATGCAACTCCTAAAATCTGTAGAAACTCCAAAGTGATGACTTTTTGTATGCTAATGATTGACAGGTGGCTGGCAGCCTCTAAGAGTCTAGGTTGCTTCAGAACGGGGCTGGTCACAAGGAGGACCAAGGCAGGATAACAAGGCTGGAACTTTCAGCCCCACTCCTCAGTCTCCCAGGAGGACAGAGGGGCTGAAGGTCAAATTGATCACCAATGGTCAATGGTTTCATCACTCATGCTTACATAATGAAGCTTCTGTAAAAACCCAGAAGAACAAGTTTAGGGAGCTTCTGGATAGCCGAACGCACAGAGGTTCCTGGAAGATGACTCACCCTAGGAGAGCATGGAAGCTCCAGGCTCCTTTCCCCATACCTCACCTTATACATCTTTTCATCAGTATCTTTTGTAATGTTTGCTGTAATAAACTGGTAAACTTAAGTATTTCCCTGAATTCTCTGAGCTGCTCCAGCACATTGATTGAACTCAAAGAAAGGATCATGGGGTCCCTGATTTATAGTCAGTCGTAAGTTCCAGAGACCCAGACTTGTGACCAGTGTCTGAAAATCAGGGGCCCGTCTCGTGGCACTGAGCCCTCAACCTGTGGGATCTGAGACTATCTCCAGGTAAATAACATCCAAATTCTACTGAATTGAATCAAAGGACATCCAGCTGGAGTCCAATGCTTGGTGTGTTGGCAGAAAAAAACCACATATTTGGTCACAGTAGTATACACTGTTGATTGTTGTTGTTGTGTGAAAGCAGAAGAAAAAGCTGTTGAGTGTATTTCTTTCCCTAGACTATTTTATAAAGCACATGAATAATGCATGATTGTTTAATGATTCTAATATTCTCAATGACACACAAAACACAGAGTTGTGCAAATGTCATTTACTATGGAAGCACCCCATAGCAGAACTTTACACAGTTCAGGTACTAAAGAAATAAGATGGGAAGGTTTGCCTCAGTGATACAGATACTGGTTCTTAGAACATTTACAATGAGTGCTCATTAAAACTGAAGGGTCAGTAAAGATGTTGACAATCATCTAGCCCAACAGTTCTCAAGGTGAGGTCCCTTGACAATAGCATCAGCATCAGTGGTGAACTTATTAGAAATGCAAATTTTGAGGCCCCAACCCAGACCTACTGAACCAGAAACTTTGGGCCCAGCAATCAGGACTTCCACAGCTGTCCAAGTGATTCAGAACCACTGATCAAACCCAAGTATCCTCCCAATCCTTGAGCCCTTTCCTACAGAATTCCTGCCAAATGCTAGCTAGCATATGCTTGAATATGTCCAGTGATGGGAAGTTCACTACCCATTCCTCCTAAGAAAGTCAGCTCTACAAATTACATAGGCGCTCTTCACACCAAGACTATCTGTTTTTCATGGCTTTATTACTTGGGATCATATAAAACAACTATCATGCAAGTGAGAGTGCTTCAGATATTTGGGGTTAGCTATTCATTTTTCCTTGTTTTTCTAGAATAAACAGCAAACCACATCAACCATTCTACAAATAGCATTGATTCAAGTGACCTGTGGCTATTTCCCTCCCCCGAATCTACTTTCTATAGTCTTAGACACACCACTTTGATTTTGCTTTATATAACACCCCACCATATTATATATGTGGGACTATTCCTACTACTGGGTTCGGGGGATGGGAAAATAACCCCGGCACCCATAGTCCTTTGACATATGATTGGTTCGGGGGTGGACACAGGACCCCAAATGATCCAATCAAAGGTAAGGACATTCTTCCGAGGAATACTGCTGATAGTAACAAGGCCACTTTCAGCTGAGTTGTCAAGCTGGTAGACTATGAACCTGAAACAGCTATGAGTTTTCCTAAAAAGAGTTGGCTTGATATGAAAGCCAACACCGAGGCAAAGACACTGAAGACATAGAGACCCATACCTGATGACACTGTCTGAGCACCTGAATCTAGCATTCCAGGAAGAAGTCATGTCCCTGAAGTTTGTTTTCCTTTCAGGATAATGGAGCAGAGTGGAGTTAGCACAGGCTCTAGTTGATGAGCTACTGTTATCATGAGCCCATGAAAGGCTCTTCTTTGTTTTTACTTTTCTTCTTATTTTCCTTCTTTTCCTCTATGTCCAGTCCCATTCCTTCCTTTCCCACCACAGGAATTCACTTTTCCATAATTAATGTATTATTCAGAATCCTCTTTACATGTTTGTATACATACATTTTATTTGTCAAAAATATATAGGGCCCTTATACATGGTTTTAAAATTTGCATATAAATTGCAGGTTTTAAATCTGATTCTTCTGTATTCTCTCAACATCGTTTTAGAAACTCATTCGTGTTCCTATAAACAACTCCTTCTCACTGCATACACTGTAGTATTCCCTGTCTATTCCTCTAGTACTACACAGCTAGCCTGATTACAACCTTTTACAAGCTACACTGTGACTACCATTCTCATACATGTTTCCCTGGATTCCTATCCTAGCATCCCAATGGTAGGATTCAGGTCGTATACTTACTTAGATTTTCTAAAATATATGCACTGGCTTGCATGCCCGCCCAGCAGCAATACATGAGGATTTCTAATTTCCTATATCCTTACCACCACTTGATAGGGTACTTCCTGCTTTCCAAGCTTTTAATTATTGAATGGTAAAATGCTGTCTCTTCCTTTCACTTCACTTGCCTCTAACAGTGATATGTGTGTATATGCATGTTTCTCCTTCTATGAATTGCCAATTCATATACTTTGTCCTCTTTCATATTGCTCTCCTCCCTTCCATTTTCTAAGTTTCTAGAGTCCCTTGTATGTTCTAAATATTGATCATGGTCTATTAAACATTATAATTATATTTTTACCATCTGTTAATTTCTCTATTGTTCCCTCCATTGAACAGAAATCATTCATTTTGATGTATTCCAAATCCATCAATTTTCTTTTTATAGTTTGTGCTCTGCAAATCTCACAGAACGAATCCCTCTTTACAAGGTTGCAAATATATATATTCCTATATTTTCTTCTATCAACTTTATATTTTCATTCTTAACATTTAGCTGTTTACTCCACTTGGAGCTTTGTTTATAGTATGAAATACAGAAACAGATTCATTTTTCTCTTTTTGTGAGCCAATTTTCCTAGTACCAATTCCTGGGAATGATTGCACTAAGTTCCCATATATACGCAGGAATAGGTCTAGACTCCTGTCTATTCTGCTTCAGAGCCAGATGCTATAGAACAGAGGTCACACTTTTGTGTGTGTGTAAAGGACCAGACACAGCAGGCCGCACAGTGTCTGTTACAATTACTCAACTTTGTCATGGCAGCATGAAAGCAGCATGAGAAGGTGTGGCTGTGTACCAGTAAAATGTTATTAGAAAAAACAGACAGCAGCCCAGATTTGGTTTATTGGTTGAATTTGCCAACTTCTGCTGTGTACTGTTAATGTCTTAAGAAAACAGAGGTCCTCCTTCTGTATTTATTATCTCATAAATTTTAGCCTCAACTCCGCCCCTTTCAAAAAAAATTCTTTCTTAGATGTTGATCAGACTGAATTTAAAATTTAAGAGGGAATGTGACATCTCACAATATTCAATGAAGCCATTTATGAATGCTGCATTTATGCTTTTTAATACCATAATAAAACTCTTGTAATAGAGTTTTAAATTTCCCTTATATGTTTTATGCATTCTATCTTAGATTTATTCCTAGATAAGCTTTTAGTTTATGTCACTATTATAAATGGCATCTTATTATTGTCCTAGTTTATAATTAGTAACTCCCAATATAGCAGAAAGCTATTGATTTTTATATGTTCTTATAGCTGGCAATCTAGCTGAACTCTTGCATTGCTTCCAATGGTTTCTGCTGATTCTCTTTGTTATTATATCTATGATTTCACTTAGAAATAATGACAATCGTATTTTTCATTGCAATTTTCCTATTTTTTGTTTCTTTGTCTTACTGTGG